CTTTTGCTCTCGCACTTGCTGGTTCGGAATATAGCTGTTGTGTTCCCTTCTGTGAGTCTTTTTTCCGGCACTAGGCACTGAAGCGGGTCAGCAGCAGATATCACAGATTTACTAATCAGCAGATATAACAAAGCTCTATCCCGGGTTTATGGGCATTCATTTAAATTCTGAGCTATCCACTCTATGGAATTGCTAAAATAAGTACATCAGTACAAGAGAAGAACCCTTTTAAGGACAGCGATATAAATAAACGAGAAAAAAGCATACTCCACTTTTGTCACATCAGCATCTCTTATTGTGGTAAGATATCAGGAACCAAAGACGGTAATCACTTATAAGAAAATTCTATCTAGAACACTATTACGATACTGGAAAAGGTAACCATATACGCTTTTACGAAATGCGAGATGAAGAGCAGTTTTCAAATAATTTCTCAAAACCTGAGTATCATTAACTAACTATGTGATTAGTACATTTTATTTCGCCATAAATACATGAAACTATTTTGATAAGCCGGGCATTGTTTTCCTAAACTTCAGCCCTTAGTAAAGGTTACCAACTGCATCCTTCTACTTTTTCGCATGTGATCTAATGCTTTTCTGAAGTTTTCATCATCCATCTGGGTAACAGTACCTTCAAATGACAAAGCCCACTGATCAAATGTCCCATTANGTGCCCGGCGGCTGGAATTGATGAAAAATAAACGCAAAATAAACAAAAATCATAGTCAAAATAGCAATATATGCTTTTTCTCTCACACGTCTTGCAATTCCGCACATAAAAAGGTAGCTCTTGTGATTGTAAATGTTTTCATTTTGATTCTCTCGAACACGTGCATCAAGAAAGCACAATAACTGGAGAAAACAAAATCTGCCATTTTGGACACCCGAAGACGAATACCAACCATACTCTAGGGTTTAAATATAATGCAAACAGTGGCAAAGAATACCGATAAACGTCAAGATGCAACTCTTCCTGGTAGTTCTGAGTCTCATTCTCGTGGCAGAGTGCAAGGCCGAACTCAAGCGTGAGTTAAACCTTTTCACTGGGACATCTCGTAAGGCAGATCAGTAGATATAATGGTGTGGCAATTTTTTGATTTGATGCGAACGCTAAGGTCTAATTCTGAGACGAAATGCAGAAACCTGGTTGTACTTTGTTTACACCTATACACCAATCACAATGCTTTTAAAAATTATAGGGCAACCTCGGTTACATCTTCTTCAGGTTCATTAGGTCGACGCTCCCCCCGAGTCTTCCTCACTCCCCCGTTTTAGGTACGATATTTAAGCTATTGCAATGTATTATCCGACTGTAACACTTTAATAAGGTTTCTGAAATGTCTTTGACTCCATACAACCCGTAACCAGGTAAAATGAACGGTTATAAACGGGAGATTCGGTTGGATTAAGTCAAGCCAGCAGTTAAAATCACATTCATGCCTAGATGAATGTACTTGTCAGTACGCTTTATTATGCCTCCGATATTTGGTGAATTTCCCGATTTTTTTCATCATTGAACGGAAACGTTTATAGTACAAATGTTAAAGTGTGTCAGTAGACAAAAACTTTTACCACACAGCATCTACACCCTGTAATGTAATTAAATCTATTGGATTACTGCATTTCGATTTGTAAAAACAAGGTATGTTTTCTTTCGTGATTGTAGATAGCTTAGAGTAATCCACATCAATGCACAATTTGCCCTGACAAGCCGTCTGTTTGCTTTTCAGGCCTTCTCATCTCCGTAGGATTCTGTTGTCTCATGGCTACATGAATTGTTCGAAACAATCAACTGAATCAGACGCGTATTTTACGGCAGTATCATCATCCTAGGTTTTCCGTACTCTTGAAACACAGACCAGTAAGATTATTGGCTGAACACGTATTCCAGTTTTTTTTTACGCTTGGACTTAACCATTGTGGATTTAATCCGATGCACACTTGCTGGGCCAAATGACTATTTCAGCTTTGTCCCACATAGGGTTTTCAAAATTGGGCGTCTCAAAGCTAAAATGTTCTTTTATCTTTTTCTATCAAACAGCGGTTTCCGACTGGCGGAAGTTTCTCACTTGCTTTATCACCACGTATTCTTGACCTGTAATAGAAGCCACACAACTGGCTCGGTGGTAGTCTGTTGGCATGCCGCGGGTTGACCACAAGTAGATAAAATCCGAGGCAATGTTGTGAGTTAGCAAAACCAAGACAAACTCCGTTTCGTCTAAACATGTCAACTAGGAAGGTTTGGTTGCTATAATTTAGAAATACTCCGATATGTTTCATTGCATACGCATGACATGATAGCTTTGTACTCCACGGCAGCACCTGGGCCTCTCTTTTTTGTGCATATCCACAGGTGCTCGCGTGTTGCATCGCTTTGCTGACGTCAAAGGTGACCTGACTCGTGAAGATGCCTGCCAAAATGTAAGTCTTCTATCAAACGGTTGGATTAGCTTGATGCCACCTATTAAAACCAACGAGTATTTTCCCGCTTTACACTTATCAAACTGCATTTAACGATGATTGTTTTATCCTGTCCACTTACAGCTGCTACTCATGGCTCCACGTTTTTGGCAGAATGGGCTTCTCCTGGAGTGCGAGCTGAAAAATTTCATCAATGGGATTGGTGATTTTGTAGTGTACGTTAACGTGAAGAAACTTATGGCCAGATACCGTGACATAAATGCACATGGACTTTCATGGCTAACCACACGCAGACTGAACAACGACTCGGGTAGCTGCATGACGGCAACAGGTATTATCAATAATATTGCAATATTTCGAGTTACTGGTAATTCTACCTCCTAAATGATGCATACTTATGTTTTCTGTAGGAACAGTAGAATATGAATTCCCCATTGGCTTGTATCCGTTTGGCTTTGACCGGTTTATTTTATCTTCGTAGACTTCTCGTCCCGTGATTACTCTTCAAACAGTCGCGGTGAGCCAGATTTGAATGTTGCTTTATTTTCATGGGTTCTTGAATGGAACACACAGCCAAGATCTTTGATGGACGACCTTGGGTTTTTCAGGATTATGGATTACTGGTCCACATACACGAACATTTTGCTCAGAAGTGAGTCCCTTTTGTAGTTTTTTTCTAAAATTTTTTGATAACCCTTGAAATTTAACATGGTTTCTTTGTTCAAAAGGAAATCACCCAGACTTGGCAAGCGCTCCTCAGATTTCAGGGCGTAAATAATGTAAACCTTCTTTGTAACAAAATTCCATCACTGTTTAAACCAACCAGATAACGTCCTCTCGAAAGAACTGTGGCTATTTCACACCAAATCGGAAATCATATGGAGATATTAAAGCATGGTGTTTTCTAGCCACTGAATCCTCAAAGGGGGATTGTACAGCCCGTTCGACCCGCAAATTTACTGTTTTATGATTGGATACGTTGCGTCAGGTGTACGTACCTGTTGGAAGAGAGCCGTTTCGCCTGTCCAGATGTGATAATCAGTATGTAGCCAGCTTGGTTGGGTGCGGTAGTTTTACTGAGTCCGCTTTTTCAGACGGAGCGCCGGAGCTTTAACCCCATCAGGAAGACCAGATTCATGAATGTAACCTCAGAACGCCCGAAACCTACCGCTCGACCAAAATCTCAACAGAAAAGCTGGCAAGTATCCAGGCCAGTCAATCATTTAATCGATTCAGCAAAAGCAGATGAGTGTTCATGCACGCCACAGAAGCACGACCGAATATGATCTGCATTTAGGCGTTTCATAAAGGCACGATCGATGTTGACGGGTGTTCACTAACGCCTATCAGATAGCTTGGATCAATGTCAGAAAGTCCACTTTAAATAGCATGGGGCCGTTGTAACTTTTGCTCTCGCACTTGCTTGTTCGGAATATAGCTGTTGTGTTCCCTTCTGTGAGTCTTTTTTTTCGGCACTAGGCACTGAAGTGGGTCAGCAGCAAATATCACAGATTTACTAATCAGCAGATATAACAAAGCCCTATCCCTGGTTTATGGGCACTCATTTAAGTTCTGTGCTATCTACTCTATGGAATTGCTAAAATAAGTAAATCAGTACAAGACAGCGATATGAATAAACAAGAAAAAAGCATTTTACACTTTTGTCACATCAGCATCTCTTATTGTGGTAAGATATCACGAACCAAAGACGGTAATCACTTATAAGCAAGTTCTATCTAGATCACTATTACGATACTGGAAAAGGTGACCATATACGTTGTTACGAGATTCGAGATGAAGGGCAGTTTTCAAGTAAGTTCTCAAAACCTTATTATCATTAACTCACTATGTCATCAGTGCATTCTATTTCGCTCCATAAATACATGAAACTATTTTGATAAGCTGGGCGTTGTTTCCCTAAACTTTATCCTTTAGTAAAGGTCACCAACTGCATCTTTCTACCTTTTCGTATGTGATATAATGCTTGTCTGAACTCTTCATCATCCACCTGGGTAACAGTCCCTTCAAATGACAAAGCCCACTGATCAAATGTCCCATTACGATCAACGAGTTCCGTAAGAATCACCAACAAAACTGCTACTTAGATCGCTCCGGCAAAGAAATGTCAAAGCTCGCCTTGGTTATTTGCCCCACATATTTTCTACTCACCCTTGCAGTCGAGCACAATAGCTACGGACCTATTTAAATCTTCCGTAGAAATCCTGTAAAAGCAGGTAGGCACCCTGGGACTTGTTTCTAAAGATTAACACGAACAAGTAGATTCAGGGGCTTTGCGAAAATTATCTTCTGCACTCAAGTTGGGTGCTGATGCCACCGTCGTTTACTTGAGACAAAGTGGTCATAACCAGGGGAGCCTATTTTACATGCACATTAAAGCGATGCTAACACCCTACAAAATGCAACATATTTCACTTTCAGCCAGACTCTCTCCGAGGGGAGGGAGAGTCACATTCATGCGCATGAGTTGGTAACCGGTCTTTGAAGTGCATGGTAAAACTATGGTTGGTGGATATCCTGCAAGCTTGCCTTCCCAACTGAAACGAACGTTGAGCCCTAAGCCCACGGCAAGTGATTCGTGTACGGTGCCAGAAAGAGGACAGTGCAAGGTAACCTAATGCGAAATGTCGCAAACATCGTTAGACTGCAATGAAGTTGGAGGAAACGCCGCATATGTGAAGGTTAATTTACAAAGAAGAATTTTCAGGGAGATTTTATAAGCCTATAAACAAGAGTGCCCACGGCAAGTGGTTCGTGTACGGTGCCAGAAAGAGGACAGTGCAAGGTAACCTAATGCGAAATCTCGCAAACACCGTTAGACTGCAATGAAGTTGGAAAAAATGCCGTATATGTGAAGGTTAATTTACTAAGAAGAATTTTCAGGGAGATCTTATAAGCCTATAAACAAGAGTGGATAGTATGCAAAAGCCGATTGGTTATACAGTGGATCAAGTATATTTTATCTAACTTAATTTTCCTGACAGCATGATGGCCTTGAAACTGTACATTAGAGGTATCTCTGCTTTCTATGCCTATTCTGTTTATTTGGCATAAAGTGGTAAATAATAGAATTGACTTCTGCACCTAAGTAGCACATGCCTACGGCTGTGCCTGGTCATGAACCCTCATCGAGTGAGATTCGAAGTGAAAATGTTTACGTGCCCTCTCCCAGAGCGGTCTTGTGCCAAACGTACTCAGCCACTGCATCCTTGGAACAAGTACCCCGAGTTTTCCAGTGGATACTTTGTACCAAGGTTTTTACAGATCGCAGCAGAGGTGACTAATGAACAACAACTTTAGGACTGTGAATTCAGATGACAAATCAGTCTGTGTAATCCTATCAGTCGGACTCTCACCAATGTAGTTAGCAGCATACCAACAGTGCCTACGTTTATCATTCAACTTTTGTAGGAGGCACAGTTCCTCCGAAAAGAATCTGTAGTTTAGTTGAGTTTCTCAGAGTGGCTAAGCCGCGGTGGACCTATTTCGTACAAATATTTCTTCCTCTGCTTTATCGGCGTGGCTTTTGCATAGACGGTAAAATAACTTACATGCTTCAACAGGTCGTCTACACAAAACATTCCTTGGAGCAAGTAGGTACTATTAAATTTGCTTATTTTTGTTACCTACAGATCTCTGGACGCGGTTTCGCTTATTTCACCGTTGTAAACTGCAAGTTGTACTTCAAACATCCAGCGGTACTTAACAAACAGTTGATCGCCACGTACGAGTTGACGCTGGACAAAACGGCTGACCGATTCAAAGTTCATCACCTGCTGGAGCAGCTAAACGAAGGAAGGTCGCGATGCAGATACAATGGTTTCTCGCTTGCTTATTTCCACTGAGAATGAGAATAGTTTAGTCCGACGCAAGGTTAGCAAATTTTGACTGATGCACTATGATAAAAAGGGTACACTGTTCTTTTTGACTATTTTTCATACACGTTTGTCTAAATAAACAAATCCTAAATTGTTGTATTGTTATTAATAATCTTTGTGTTGAACACCCTCAATGGGATTCTTGGAAGATAGAAGACCAAAAGAGTAAGCAAAGGCCATCGTTCTGAATTTTAACGCTTGATTTAGCTAGTTGGGTTTTTTCCAGATAGTGCGCCTCACCAAAATGAATGAGGCCAAATCAACATCACTCAAATCTATAGACAGGAAGAGACGTCTAAAAGACTGAAATGAAGAACCGTAAAATGGTTCTTTTTAGGGGCTTTCTTTTCACTGAAAGTAAATCGCAAAATGCTTATACTGAGTAGTTGAGATGTTTTATTTGGCAAACAAACATGCTTTTGATTGCTGCATATTTTGCTAAATGCAGTAGAACAGGTCTTTATCGATCAAAAAAATCATCCAGCTGCAGCATCTTTTTATCATTCAACTGCCATGCCACCACAGGGAAGCACGAGGGTTGGGATTCTGCTGGGTTGCCCAAGTTTAGACAGGGGAAGTCGAGAGGCAGAGGTCGGGTTCAAACCACAGACCTTCCGGTCAGTAAATTTGTGCTCTAACCACTAAGCTTTCTCGATCGCAGCTCTCTCTTTACAAAGAGAAGACATGAACGGCTCTGAGAAACCTGGCATTTACACAAAATATGAGAAGCTGTTCCAACAAACAATTCTGGAAGAATATCAACAAATCGAATGTATGTGGTTAACTGTCCTGCCCGAGCAGTACGATTCAACATGGTCGTTTAAATAACTGGCGTCAAAATTTTACTTAGCGGCAGGCAAATAGTCATTTTATGTGCTTAGACGTCAAGCTGTACTGTCTATTACTCCAGATCTATGTCACATCAAACATTAGTGTAGGCTAACTAGAAGGTTTACACCAGTGTGGCTTCAATGACTCTTTATCGGTCTATCTGAGCTTGTTTTCAGAAGTAGCAGGCTATTCGTTTGACCAGTCAAACTTTCTGGTAATTAGTTTCCCTTGAAAAGTGTACTTGGGCCACATTCTGTGTGGGCTAGACTTTGGAGCAAAGGCAGTTTTTTTGTAAAAGCGCAGAAACTCGGAGAAGTTGGACATGGTCCGGTCCAGAAAGAATTTTGGTAACGGATCGAACCACGATGGCATCATTGCTGTTTCTAAAAAAATTCAAAAAAGAACAGTTTCGTCGTTCGCAAGTCTGCCGGCATTTTCGTGAAGCGATAGCTCCAACAAGGTAGTATTTACGTAAAACTTTCACAAATGATCAGCGTTTGGTCAGTATATAGCAAACCTAAAGTTGACTGACGGGGCCTTTGAAAACACAGATCAACGGCGTCGTGTTATTATCGCTTGCTTCGTCCATGTTACAGTGCTTAGGTGTAAGGTTTCGGATCTGTCAAGGACTAAAAACGTAGATGGATCGATACTCATAAGACTACCTAAGAAGTCAGCAAACTACCGACTATACAGCCAAACTGCTGATTACCGAAATCATCAGTATTGAACAACGCCCTCAGGATGATTTTGTCTGCTGGTCATTTCGAGCTATATTACCGATCGCCAACTGGACCCAAATATGATGCATCCATTCACGTTTGTGTGGCTGCAGGCCAGAACGTACTTCTTTCGAGAGAAGAGACTCTCTCCTTACCCGAATCCTGATGCGCAGTCTATCCGACTGGCTCTTATAAGTCATCTTATTCAAGTATCCGCAGTATAACCTGGATGATCGATTTACCTCCTTTTTCCCCAGAAAGTGAATAGCGACCACATAGATATTATAAGATAGTTATTATTCTCCATTTTACAAGCCACTATTCTCGGACCGGCGAGCTTTTCAAATGAAAGCAAGTGGTTCGTCCGCACAAGAAAATCAATATCAGCTGGAGGTAGTCAAGTTTGGGATATATAAGACATTCGGCGAAGAATAAAATAGACTTTCCCGGAAAGGGGGAGGAATGGAGCAGAATATGAGGACAGCTGCGACACAGGGGAGTAATAATTCAGGGTTCTAATGAACACCGTTTGTGCCCATTCCAGAAATACTTTAGTTTCTGGTACTTTATTAGGTTGAGTTAGGAATAGGAATAGGATGGAGTCAACCAATTCCTTGTTCACAAAACTCATTGCTTACTATTGCACTGTCCATCAGGTGTTGCGTGGTCAACTACGTGTGTTAGTGGAAAACATCTTCAAGTGGTTGTAATAAGTCTCTTACCTGGTGACAAATTATTTTTTCGACAGCACTTAGTAGAAATCATGTATGGGGGTGGCGCAAGATTCAGCCAGAGCGATTAAAACGTCTTTCGCAGCTACCAACTTTTCCGAGGACCATTCACTGAACGCAATGAAAAAAAACAATTTGGCATTGAAATCTTGGAGGAAGTGCATACTCAACAAAAAAACAAATAAATTTGGTCAAGACATATTTGTTCATTCTCATGTCAAGCACTTTTACTGTACTCGTAAGGTTTGACGCCCCCACAGGCACTTTCTGTGGATTCCATTGACTGAGAAATCAGAACCGCTTCAACCTTCTGTACGAACGTCACAGAAAATACTCCATCCTTGACTTTTTCAATGAATGACAGCTTCAAGGTCTTATTGGTCAGTCCGCTTGAATTTCTATGCACAACGCGTACAGGTAATGCATGCGGCTTCTTTGCACTGGGCTTAATTGTGCACGTTCAAGCTCAACACCAGGCGGTTGAATCCTTGCAAATCTACTTAGTGTGTTTCGAGCGTGAAAAAGCGCGTATGGTATTGCTTTCCATTTGGTGACCGTTTCTACTTTTTCACCAAGAAGACTGCACATGTAGCGATTAGATATTTGGATGTACATTCAGAAGCCTCTGAAGAAGGGATACCTCAGACTTATGGTCATTTTGGTTGCGTCATTAGGAGAATACAAACAGGTTCAATCTGGGTTTTGTTTTGTACGTCAATTTAGACAGTGTCAAACAATCAGAAGGCAGTGTGCAGTTTTTTCAAGCTTCCTGCGAACAACTAGTCTTGCGCATTTGAACCTGCAACATCCGGACTAGTCATTCAACAATTAATCTTTCGAGCCACCTGCGGCTTTCAGCAGTGAAACTAACTCATATTGGAGGAGAATATGGTCACCAACAGAGTACATTTCAGTTTCAGTAAAAATAGGGTAATAGTCATTCAACAATTAATCTTTCGAGCCACGTGCGGCTTTCAGCAGTGAAAGTGGAGAAGAATGTGGTCACCAACAGAGTACATTTTAGTTTCAGTAAAAATAGGGTAACTGCGCACAGCTCCTAGGCCATTCGACTTGCATAGGCTTTGTTCAAAGGATGAACCCTCGACATAAAACTCCACACACCATGAACATTTTATAAGTTGCTTGGAGGAAGAATAATTTCGCAAGACGAGCGAGAATTTCATCTCATGTGTCATCACTGGAGGTGTGGATTCCGTGATTTAAGGAAGATCGGCCTTTAGAATATCAGCTGGTCAGCTTACTAACCGACCACTTATGACCGAATAGTTGTGTTCAGCTACTACCGACGAGGCTGGCAATAAACACCGGACATACGGATTTTTGCACTTCGAGGTTTAGCCTCACTTTGGTCCCGGAGCCCCAGGGCTACAAAATGGCCGCGTAATCTACGGGAGAGAAATATTCTCGTGGAATGGAAGCATATGCATTCTACGCTTAATTGAGACGAACCTCATAATTTGTTTAGCCGATTCAACTTGGTTTTCAGAAAACTAAGTCCACTTATTCATCCGACTACGAGTGATATGGTGTCTTGAGGATTTGTAAACAACTCAGGATGAGCCGAATGTTCCGAGATGATTAGCGAAGAAGTGTCACGCATCATATTATAGAAAGGAAAGCAAACTCGGGAAACCGTCTGTGGGGACAGTGTTTTAGGTGACGTAGGACAAAATAGAATATGTTGACACACTAAGGATAAGTATGAGGATTTAACAAGCCAAAGAAATTAACCCAAACGCATAATAGTAACAGTTGTGAACAGGACATGGACTGAGAAATTTATCCAGATATTTCAGGGATTCCTGAAACCAAGAACGAGGGCTGGCCACCTCTGATTTTTGTGTCAAGTACAGGCTAGTAAATGACACTTTGGGGGAGGGATCTCCCTCTGTTTATATCAACATGAGCGGAGTGAAATTGCCACAAAGTGCAAGATTGGAATTAAGTAGATCGCGAATGGCCGCGTGAGAAACAAAACTGGGTTCAAACCAACAACAGACGATTATTCACGGCCTAACTGAATGGCTGCGAAGCCGCAGATAGTACTCTCGTTGACCATGAAATTTTCACACAATGAATTGCGATTTAAATTAATAAGTTTGAATAGATGTTTTGTTTGACGATGCCATGAGTTAGCTGAGCTGGACAGATTAAATCAGCAGCGTTTAGAGTGCACTACCACTTTGTGACTGTCACGGCCTTTAGAACACTGTCGTCTGACGCCCAATCAGGCATTGCAGTGCTTCCGCCGTTACTGACAGAAAGAATCCCAATATCATGGGGTCATTAGTTCGCTAGCAAAACAGGAGGTCACTTTGTCGTTGTAAGCCGTTTGTGTAAAATACCTTCGTGCAACATTAATATCATGGGGTCATTAGTTCGCTAGCAAAACAGGAGGTCACTTTGTCGTTGTAAGCCGTTTGTGTAAAATACCTTCCGTGCAACATTTTATTGTAGTTGTGAAAAAACCTAAACAGAGACTTCTCATTTCTTATCTTATCATTCCTTATCTTCACCAAGTGTTAGAGCATCACCTGACGCAGGTTGTTTCTTTGTAATTCGTCTCAGCAAGTGGGGAGGCTATGGTAGGCCTTGTTTTCACGTAAATTGGGACAAAAACGTGTCAGAATACGTTACTTACTATTGTGCATATCTGCACGAAGGAGACCCTAAACACATGAATCTATGACAGTTAATTGATTGCGAAAGGCTTCACCTCAAATAAAAAATGTCCATAATCTTCAACGAAGCATACAAAAGCACCGGTGACAACATCGATAGAAACTGTCATATCAAGTACAGCCAGAAATGAGCTGTATCAACTCGTCAATGACGAAGCTCAAGCGCTCCGTATACTGAAGACGAAGTCGTATTGGTTAGCAGATCAGTAAATTTCTTCATTTCAAACACATAACAGAATACTACATGGTGAATGACGTTCGTCAAGAGCAAAATAGTTTCGGTGACTGTGAGCCAGTTTCAAATGACAAGAGACTCACCCGGCGTTGGATGTTGAGTTATTTGATTTGATGTTAACTGTGTCGAAATAGTTCTGATTAGGTCGTACGGGACCAACATTCATGTACGAAATAACGGCGAAGACTGGTACAGATTGCTACTGAAGCGGTGTGGCTCTACATGAGTTCCATTTTTTTTCAGAAACAAGCATAAAGTTATCAATAAACTAATGGGAGCACCACAGGTGCTCGTTTGATACCCAAGACTGTGCAAGTGGAACTCGAAGAATGTGGCTGTCCACTTTTTGTGTGTAAGCAAGAGCTCAGCCTCATTTAGTCGGTCTAGTGAGCGAACAGAGCACAGCGAAACATCTAAATCGCAAGTGGAATCTGAATGAAGTGACGTTCTCTGAGGTTGTTCTAAAACAAGTTGTGTTTCATCAGTGACACATTGGTGCTGAATGGAACCAAACGTTACAAAGCAGTAGTTCAGCACTGCTCAGCTAAGAAACGTGGTAGTATTAGTTTCCGAACAAAATCTGAGGATTGTTCTTGCATAAGTTTGTATGGGTGGTAAAATACTGTGGTTATCCTAACACATTCGAACAAGACTTTTTGCGTTTAAGCAACCGTAGTAACCAAGACTCATTTGAACGATAGATTTCTCGACCCCCCACCCCTATAACAAACATTAAAAATTGTCCAACGGGTTTCAAGCGTCTGTGGCGCTACCTTAATGATGATTCCTGACAGGCGGGTCAGTCGATCGTCGTAAACAGGGTACCTACCGGGTTGTCGTTTGATGGGTCAGGCATACAAATCACATCGCTCAGCGTGAACACGTGCGCCTGTTTAGACGTGGAAATTTTGCGCACACTTTCGAAGTCGATATGAACAAAGCTACTGAGATTGAACTTTCTTGATTTTCACAACTTCCAACATCTTACAGTACTTGATATCTTCCTATAACCTCAACAAGTGATCGTGGCTATTTGTTTCTTTACATAAACACCCGTGATATAGCAGCGGTAGACCTGTCTGAAAGTGTTCTTTCGTCTGTAAGACTTACCGTACGAAGAGATTTGCTTGTACTTATATCTCAATGTCTGTGAATCTTTCTAACACCCACGACATTCCAGTTGGACATAGCTATTTCACTTGAAACGCAGTACGATAAACCCCTGACTCCGCAAAAGCTAACCAACCATCAGAGACTGGTAGCGAAGCTTTACGGCTTCCATATAAGCCATGAGAAGCTTTCAAGAATTCTTATGAACTTCATGATGCAACTTCTCTTGATTTTTATTGGAGCCATTCTTACAGCAGGAGCAGAGATTGTGGAACTAAGGCGTAAGTTAATGATTCCAACAAACTGTTTCGTAGCATCACTGCTACTCTGGATCAATAAATTACTGTTACTATCCGTAATTTGGATGTAGTCAAGTTAGCATAATGAACCTAACGCAGAGGGTATATAAATTTCGAAATCACTGTTTTGAATCATATACTGTCGATATCAAACACTTGTCACTTTTTCACGTTCTTTCAGGTGCCCGCGTGTTGCATCGGTTCCCTGGAGTCAAATATGATCTCACTCCGACACAAGCTTGTCTCAGAGTAGGTGTCTTTCAACGTTGGCTGCTTACTCGTGATAGAGCAATTACCCTGGAAAAATTGTTCTAGCTTATTTTAGACGCTCTGACCTGAACAGTACGCACTTTGAAATGCACTTTTGTAACGTTTTCCAGTGGTCTGAAGAAGCACTAGCTGATATGAATGGAACTAAAATGAGAAGTTGATCCAATTATCACCAGAAACACCGCTTCTTTGTTGGCAATCGCCTTCTCGAGTGAATCTGACTTATATGCATTTGAAGATTGCTTATTAGGACCAAAGAATGGAAACTAGAGAAGACCTTGACCACACGACTCCGGCTGCCCTGTTGGGATATCCAGGTTTCAGTGGTCTTTGCCATTCACCTCTGTGGAATAGATCAAATCATGTCTTAGTCCGCACAATTACCTCACTGCTTTTCGCACAAGCTAACAGGCGGAGGCTCTGGAAGTCACCTTGACCTAACTGAGATTCTTATGTTTAACTCGAAATTTTGTTTGCAACTTTTTCTTCACCATCATCAATCTGTGAATAGGGTTGCGCTATGGAAGTGTTATCAGGGAAACCACCGGAAGTGCTAACCTCAGCAGCACTCCATATTTATTTGGACAGGAATGTTTGCCAGCTACGGATCCTTTCAGATCTTTTTTTTCATGAAACTTAGTTCCAAAAATGTATTAAATCAATTAACACAACCATAGGGCAATTCGTCCTCATGTGTTTAGGCATCCAGCAACATTGGGTTTTTGCTGTGAAACTTTTCGCATCTTCTTCTCTAGCATCCATGACATTTTTTAAAGTCGAACGCAATGGATTTTGTAGAAACACATGTTTTCCCCACTCCGACTGTGCGCCCGATTATCAACTGACGTATGCAAAGAACATATGAATCTGAGCGATTAGGCCGCAAACCTATCGGAAGCGCCTCCGTTAGGAGGTAACTTAAACATCTTAATGCAAACAAATGTAGAGCTAGGTCATTTCGCGCTCTGTACAACATCACAATTGCTATGAGAATCTTTTTTGCGGCACTAGTGATATTCCTTAATATATATCCTGCTCAACAAAATCACTAATCGATTCAACATTTACCCTTTTTCTGATTGACCAACCATGTAAATAGAGATAAGAAATTTTCTGACCTTTCTAATGTGTTCCTATATGGTTATGTTCAAATTCAGCGTGCTGTTTACTCGGTCTTCATTTACCTGTACGAACGCACTACCACGTTAATTTTTAGCTGGTATCCGAGGCTCCTCCACATTGGGCGAATGGACTCCTTCAGGAATGTGAGCTAAAGAATTTTGTCAATGGAATCGCCGATTTTGTGCTTTATGTGAATGTGGCCAAACTGCGTGCCCAGTATGGTGATGCAGATGAGAACGCATTTTCCTGGTTAACGACGCGCGCGCTCAACAACGACACGGGCGTTTGCACAACAGCAACAGGTACCGCATAATAAGTTTAATTTTACCGATGATGCGTTGAACTGTCCAAATCGAGCTACAATGTGAATAATTTACTGTACTATAATGATGGATGTCTATTTCCGTTGAGAGAACACAGTCTGAACCTGGTTTTTTATGTGCCTAGGGACAACGCCTATCTCCCTCCGGTGAGTAGGTATGATGACCTCCCAAGTTCACGTGCATTTTTCAGTTTGTCGAAATTTCATAGGCAAGTTAGTGAACCTGTGCAATGCAGTGCCGGCCCATGTGGTTTTACAATTTGTATGAAGGAGTTTTGAGCGCGAAGCATTCCCAGAAGTTGCCCGAAAGACCTTACACTGCCTGTTCTTTATCGATCTTTTGTTTGATTTTGCCACTGATCATCGTCCAGCCGTGGTTCATCAGACTGGCGCGTTTGTGTATTCCGTCGAATAATGCATCTTCACAGGTGATTCCTGAAATAGCCCGGAAAACTACGAGAAACTAAGCTGTTTGGGAAGAGAGCAAAGATAAAGGGACAAAATGTAATAGTAAATTGCACAATAATACCAAGCAATTTTAATTTTATGTGAACCAAATTGTGTTTCATATTTCGTCGGGTATCCTCAATGTCTTTTCTTTATAGTGGTCTTTCGCAAGTCTGTTGACCTATCTCTTCGTGGCGTTTGCAAGAATCTCTGGCTATGCCGACCGCTTTTCCAGTATTCTGGCTTTAAACTTTTTCAAAATCGACGGTGTTCGTCTACGGCTGATGGAGCAGAGCAACTAATAAGGTCGTCCAAATGTTTGACTGATAGACTCGACGTGCCTCAGTTTCCGTCACTATCTGGCAGGGCTGTTTGGTGTTCCTGTAAAAAACCTCTTGGGATAGCGTGCCAAATAAAAGCCTAGAGTAATCTGGGAAAGTAAAATTTCGGATGATAACTTAATAAAATCGTTTGTGCATTGTGAAAAAATGAATTCCTCGATTTCTTTTTTCTCATTTTTAGATCTATCATCAAGAGAATACGATGCGAATATCAATGGTAAGGTTGTTTCGTATTTGATCAAATTTTGTCTGCTGTGTATTGGAAACATCAATTAACTAATCAGTGGAAACCACCGCTTTTATAGGTATCAGAATAACCGGACCGTATGCATACGAATTTTGTTCGCAGGTGAGTCCGTTTTAATAGACATTTGTTGTTCCGTGTTCATTCGGTGCTGTGTTTTGGTGTACTCATTGAAATAATACTTTATTCCAGTGCATAGCCATTCCATTCTCTATCACCTGGCTTTCCCCAGAAAAAAAGCGAGCATTCCTCTCACTGCCCTACGCGTGATACAGTTGAAAACCCAAAGCAGTCGGATAAGAGTGACTCGTTCTGTAATTTCTTTTCGACCGGCAATACTAATTCATAGAATCCATTGACTTCAGAGGAGCGTCCTAAAGTGGTCTTTCCGGTAAACTAGTAATTAGTTAAGGGGATCTTTCCGGAGGTGATTTAACGGTTTGCTATTTGTTCTCGGGGAACTAATAGTCCAATAATATTTTATATTTGTCCTAAGAATTTACCACCTTATCACTCTCAGTCTGAAACCATCAGCGTGACTGTTGATCGGGATCGTGGAGCGTAGTTACGGGGTTTCATATGGCTACTGTTAACCCATGTGGATTTTATACGAAAAATGATATCGTCTGTTTTGACCTCGGAGTGCAAAAAACCTTTATCTAACCAAGCTAATTTATCCGTGGACAACACTTATTTGCCCATAATTTGGCTTCAATTGGTGAATCAGCTGAATTCCATTAAATCAACAAGCAGCGTGTCCTGATTTCTCAAATATCGTCCAAAACGAAACAAGATGATGCTTTGTGAAGCAATCACAATCGAAAAATTCTGTTGAGATTCATTTAAGTCTCAATTTCGGCTGACAACAACTTGGAGATTAGGGATACCCTATGAGCAACAAGAAGCGCAAAACAGGTTATGGGTTGTCGATGCGTCTTCAGTCACCTTATGAGAAGTGTGTGAAACAAATAGCTGGCTTGATGGAGCGAAATTACAAATTTTCTCGAAAGCTCCAAACAAACGTCGTTTACATTCGCTAAAAAAATGAATAGCCACGATTGTACGCATACATTCAATTCATTCACATTTGCGACTAGGGTGATGGGCATTTGTTTCAAATTTATACAAATCTTTGTTGAAAATATTTTTATTGTTGAGTCTTTGCTGTTGATGCCATCAGGGTTTGCTTGGACACGAACCACAGTGTGCGAAAACCAACTGGTTGGATTATTTTGGCCTCCCAACTGACTTTCAGTACTAGTTATTACTGTAAACCAAGGTGACCATGAGGCTTGCGTTCATCGTTGTGCGTGTGAGCTCAATCACATAGCCCCCAAGTGATTTTTCCAGGTTTATCGTCCCTGGTAGTTGGGTTACTTTAATAATTTTTACGAAAATTTGTCTGCTTTAGGAAGAGCTACCTTTCTGAGAAGTGTGTGCATTTATCAACAAGGTGGGGAGAGTTTTCCTCAAAGACGTTAAAACCAGCGTGCACTGCAATCTGGCACTTATCTAGTGAGGAATTTTCTTCGCATCCGTGGTAAGGTTTACTCAGATCCTCGGGCCATAGCTCGTAGTGGGTAGGTAAGAATAAACTCAAAGAGTGTTGACCCCATACTAATGTATTCGGAGACACTTGTGAATCTTTCTTTACTAACCAACGCATTTTATCTTCGAAAATTTTAATAGGTTTTTGAACGTCGCTTTCTCTACTTCACCGTCAAAGGCTGCTTATTTCTCCACGAACAACCTTCACAAATCAGCAAGGAGTTGCTTGCCACATACGAGTTGATATTGGATAAAAAAGCAGGCCGAGTTGAAGTACATCGTTTGCTGGAGCTGTTCAACGGCGGAAAACCTGGTTGTACGTATAATGCCTTCCCTTTTGCCTATTTTGGCTAACACTGCAGCTCGGTATAATGCTTTTGTCCAACACCATCCAAACTAGTGAGATAAACATTTACATCGGATTATAACGACTTTTTCTGCTTTCCTCGGCTGACGACGTGATAAATGACCTAATCGTTTCCATTAAATCGTTTTTAACTGGGTGATAAGCCATGGAAGGACGTGTTTTTATCGGTTGAGTTGGAGCCACTTCCCTTCAGAAAGTTTCTTAGAAATCGTTATAAGTGCATCCGGCTGCATTTTATCTTGAAGTTCTAAGGACTGTGTGGAGGCGCAAAGTCAAGAACTGGTACTATTCCCGAAGACGTTTTCAACGTCTTTCCCTTTTAGTTCAGCGTCGGTCACCATATTGATTCTTACTCACCTCTCGGGTTGGAAGGAAGGTAAATTTGTCCCTACATTGTGATCTTAACCTTAAACTTCATCCTTTCCGAAGTTGGTAGGATACCTTGTGACACCTATCTGTCACGTGGTGTTGCAAGCAGTAAATTGATGGAAACCCAAAAGCAGACCAAATTCGTGTTAGTAGGGTGCGAGCGGCTGTTATGGAAATAGGTTGTATACATGTCATTTAGAGTGAGAGGTGGGCTCGAGGCGAGTATAACAAATGTACGAATAAAACGTTTTCATATCGGTAGGTCGGCAAACTGAGGCGAAACTCCACTAATTTGGTTTGTTAGCGGCTTCGCCTTTCAACGATATTTACGGCTGATGGCCGGGGATCTGCGAGTGTGCATTTGCCTTTTATGTGACTATCGGTATATGCGTATCCACGTAGTTCGAAGGTCAGGAAATAATGGAAGGAATATGATTACTCATAGCGATTGTTTGAGCAATGTTTAAGAAAAACTAGAGAGGCGTCATACAAATCAAACCAATAATCTTCAATTCAGCAAACAGAACTTTCTCCACTTCATATAATTTATGCCGAACAGAACCAATTTTTAGCTTGCCTACTACGCCACATATGGCGCCACATTCATCAACAACCTCACATGTTTCGACATTAGTATGCATAACCAAATATGTTGCACTTTTCCACAGGGATTCGGATAAACAGATGATCTTTTATTCTAACTTATGACTCCACCAAAAACCCTTTGGGACCTTATCATGTTGGACAAGCTGTAACCTTAGGTCACGAATTCCGTTTGTTATATGCAACAAACAATTTTTCTGACCTGTTAGTAAGTAGTTTCGCACCATTTTGCGTCGATTAATTTCTTAGCCGTATACCTAATTGATACGGTATTGAGCATGGATGTGCGTGCGAAACTTTCATGGATACTGCGGTAAACGGCGAGCCGAGTTCCGTTGCCGACCTGGGTCAATCGAGTTTGAGTGTCCTAATAAAAAAAATGTCATCGCAACATCACTCTCACAGTGTCTCGTGACTCCAATCCCTATTATTTAAGAAATCCTTCGCCGGAAAAAGTGTTACCATGCCCCCACGTTTTGTGAAGTATAAATGGTGAGTTCATTCATCGGCTCACTTCAGTAGTGATCGATAGATTCGGATTAAAGTTATATGGGTGTTACGGGTGTTAATATAGTTAGCTGCGTCGTACCCCCACGTTTTGTGAAGTATAAATGGTGAGTGCATTCATTGGCTCACTTCAGTACATTCGGATTAAAGTCATATGGATGTTACGGATGATAATATACTTGGCTGCATCGTACTTTGCGTCGTTTCGGTTTTATACATAACTGCAATGAAATCTTAGGTGAAAAAGCACAGTTCGATGGATCGATAAGGAAACAAAATAGATTGGTTTGGAACAGTCAATTGAAGCCTACAATGAACATGCTGGGGCAGGTTTCGGAACAGCAACTTAAAAGTACTGCTCATCCTCCTAGTAGCGTAACGAGGCTGCTCAAATACTTATTGAAGTGGTCATATAAATTAGGCGGTCAGTCATATGTTCAAAGCCCACAAGAAAATGCAGTTCACTATCACGGATGTTAAAAGAATGGATGGTGTACATGCATTTCTTGGTGAATGTCGCGCACCTTCATGCAGATTTGTGGCCGAAATTGTGCTCATCATACTCGAAAACGATTGCCATCTGATTTTTCAATGAAGATAGTAAATAAAAGTGCCCAGATGGATGAGTCACTGATACCTGCTGTAGAGTTTCTAGAGCTTTACGTTGCACTGTTTTGAGGTAGGTAAGCTCCTAAATTTGTCTTAAGGAGTAAATACAAATATCTCATCACAGGGATCATCGGTCACTTTTAATGTAGCAACGTTATCTTTAGAAAACGGCAATCTTGCCTTCCTATTGGGAGGTCTGGAATGAAGCATGTACCATTCACATGGTCTAAATTCACCAATGCGTCCGACTGCGTTGAGTCAACTCAACAATAATACAACCAAGATGGATACGATCTAGCGGAATATGTCACCAGTTTGTTTTTTATTTGCTTAGACAATTGGAAGCTCCAAAAGTACTTCGAACTCGTTTGGATTAGGGTTGCCTTTTAGAAATGCTCACAACTCCTTACCCATCTGGTCAGGTTGGATTACTTAGTTTGAACAACAATTAGAAAGTCACAGTACGAAAAAATGACAGAATTTCAATACATTGAAACGGGACTGAAGCTCATGGTAAGCAAAGCAACTTGATTTGTTGGAAAAAACTACAATTCACATTGTCCATGTAATTTCGAGTTGAAACAAATATAATTGTTGTATTCCATTTCTCTCAATAGGCAATACACCCGTTAAAATTTTAGGGACTTCGTTCACATTCAGTGGTTTGGAAAAATCTGGAACAAAGACTAGTAATGTGTTTCCAAAGGTACTCAGTTATGCTAGTCCAGACAAGTCATCCACAAGACGAGGAATAATCTTTTCAATGAAAGTACGCAATGGACAGTGCGTTGTATCGACATCTTGGTCTCCTTCCGTTCACTTGTTCCAACATCCGCTGAACTTTAAACCGGTCAGCAATATTGTCCAGCTTCAGCTTATATGTTCCAATACGTTCCTTGTTGATTTTCGATGGCTGTTGTGAGTAGAACACGCACTCCTTCACCGTGAAATAGTTGTATCGGCGTCCTTG